TATCCCACCTAGACCTCCCCCACTGCAACCTGAGCCCGTTGCTCCTCGTTGCACCTGCCCCCACTGAGAACAGCCTCTCTCCAGCCTCTCTGGAACCCCCCTTCAGGGAGTTGAAGGCTGCTCTCAAATCCCCCCTCACTCTTCTCTTCTGCAGACTAAACAGACCCAAGTCCCTCAGCCTCTCCTCGTAGGTCGTGTGCTCCAGCCCCCGAATCATACGGTGATATGCCACAACTGATGTGGATTTGCAAAGAACAGCTCATGCCATGTCTCGCGCATGCTCTTCTTGATCAGACTAATCGGCCTTATGGGTGAGGGAGGGGAGCATTAGGGGTACGTCTAGACTGCATGGCTCCATCAATGTTTACTCAACAAAGGGAAACGAAGCAGCGATTTAAATAATCGCCACGTCATTTAAATCAAAATGGCCGCCATGCTGTGCCGATCAGCGATTTGTCGGCACAGCGCGGCAGTCTAGACAGGGATCTGCCGACCCCAAAACTCTTTGTCGGCAGATCCTGATTCACGAGGTGTCACATTACTGGATATGGAGGGGAGCAGCCATATGAGGTGTTGAATAGAAGGGGGCCATGTGAGGTGTTGAATAGAAGCTCACTGTCTGCTAATCCTATGTACGCTATTTATGTGGTTGTATAATGTCTGTGTGTATAGTTAGGAATCTCTAATCTGTGTGGATACTGAATATTTCTCTGAATGTGGTTGAGCATTGGGCAGAGCCCGGCCTGTGGACATGCTAATTAGCGAGGCCCTGTGGGACAATGGCACTCAATGGGCCAAGGACACACCTAAAGCATGAGGGTGGAGACCTAAGAGCTGGCAGCAGAGAGAGGCTGAGGACCAGGTGATCTCCTGCAGCCAAGAAGAGGCCAGGCAGGAGGGATAAAGAAGCCATGTGGGACAATGGCACTCAATGGGCCAAGGACACACCTAAAGCATGAGGGTGGAGACCTAAGAGCGGCCAGTAGAGAGAGGCTGAGGACCAGGTGATCTCCTGCAGCCAAGAAGAGGCCAGGAAGGAGGTATAAAGAGGCCATGTGGTCGACGCCATCTTGGTTCTCAGCTCAGCACTTCATCCCAGAGGCAGCATTGCAGGGATCAAAGAGCCAGGAAGACCTGTGAACCCATCCTGATCCTAGGATGCGCAACAAGGACTTTTAAACCAGCAGCTGTAACATCCCTGCTAGAGCCTGCATCGAGGACTGGGAGATTCGGTGCATGTAATGTACTATCCTTTAGCAACCTTACTCTCATGCTTTTCTTTCTTGTAATAATAAACCTTTAGTTGTTAGATGCTAAAGGATTGGCCCAGCGTGATTTGTGGGTAAGGTCCAGAGGGT